TCAAGTAAAAGTAAAAGTATCACATGAAAAAATCTACTTAAGTAAAAATATTAAACTGCCCGCATTAAAATGTTGAGAGATCTTTAGAGAAGCACCAAATGTTCTGCACTATGGCATTAATCTTATCTATTTCCTTGGAGACAAGCAGGCGACGCGGCAGGTCAGAGTTACAGGTCAGATCTGCGGAATGGCTGCTAATTAAAAATGCATGTTTTTGAGCAATAAAAACACTGGCAAGATAAATTTAATGTAAGATTCCAGGCGAATCATTAACATCACCATGGAGACAAGCAGTTGGTGAGCACCCAAAGGAAAAGTTACACTATGCAGCTTTAAATGAAATTAAACTGTACTCAATTTTGTTACTCAAGTAAATCTAAAAAGATACTAGCGCAAAAAAAAACAAAAAAAAACTCAAATAAAAGTAAAAGTATCACATGAAAAAAATCTACTTAAATAAAAATATTAAACTACCCACTTAAACATTTTGAGAGATCTTTAGAGAAGCACCTACAGCATTAATCTTATATATCTCCATGGAGACAAGCAGGCCATAGGTCAAAGTTACAGGTCAGATCTGCGGAATGGCGAGCAATTAAGAATGCATGTATCTGAGCAATAAAACACTTGCCATATAAGTTTATTACTGTGCTTTATAAAATTCCAGATGAAGCATTAACATCACCATGGAGACAAGAAGTTGGCAAGCATCCAAAAGAAAAGTTACACAGTGCAGCTTTAAATGAAATTAAACTGTACTCAAATTTGTTAAAAAATATGAAAAAATACTCAAGTAAATGTAAAAGCATCACATGAAAAAATCTACTTAAGTAAAAATATTAAACTACCCGCTTAAAAATGTTGTTTAGAGAAGCATCTAATGTTCTGCACTATGGCATTCATCTTTTCTATCTCCACGGATACAAGCAGGCGACGCCATTAGCCAAAGTTACAGGTCAGATCTGCAGAGTGGCTGCTAATTAAAAATGCATGTTTTTGAGCAAAACTCTTGCAAGACAAGTTTAATATCGTGCTGTGTAAGATTCCAGGTAGAGCAGGAGCAGCTGGCAGACACACAAAGGAAAAGTTACACAGAGCAGCTTTAGATAAAATTCAGCTTTACTGGAAAAATCTGCATACATTTATCTGCATGTAAATGTAAAACTACAATCTGACAAAGAAAAGGATTGAAACATGAAGGCCATAGTGTTTCATATCTACATTTCAAACAATGAGATCATTTCTTTTAAGTGGTATTTGGCAGCGCTGCGTTGCTTATCACCAGGAGATTATTTCGCAATAGCAGTTATAATAAAAGTGAATAAGGACGTTCCTGTTTTTCTTTCAGGGAAGTTATCGGGCATTTCTTTATTGTAATGAAATGACTCATCTTTTTGTAAACACTTTATAACAGAGTAAATAAGCCAAGCAATGCTGTATGATTTAATTTTATTTATTTTTTTAAATAAAGGTTTGCATAAGGCAGCAATCACACATGCATCATATCAAAACTGGGGTTCAACCGTAGACTGTATGTACAAATGGGCAAAGCTCACCTGCTAACCGCTGCTTTCCAAACAGGAAGTGAGCATGGGTGCGCTTCTGGCTCCACAGACTCTGGTTTCAATTTACTTTATATTGAGAAATTGTCACACCTCTTAACTGTAACTGCTGCTGTCAGGCTCCTCATTTTGGTCTTAAAATATTCACTCTACCTGATCCTGGTGATTTTATTTAGCTTTTTTGTCCATAAATCAATTCCCGTTCCTAATATGAAGCTTCAAAAGCGTTCCTACATCTGCCAGCCTCGGTGAGCTTCATTTGACTGGAGCTGAGGGTGACTCTTGTTTTATTATTGTTTGTACAAATTAGTAACGTGTTAAAAATAAACCCTAACCTTTTCAGCAGGTCTCAAACAATAATAAAAAATAGTTATAAAATGATAAAAAATAACTTTTCAGTCCTGTCTAAACATGTAGTGGAGTAGAAAGTACAGATACCTACTTTCAGATGTAATGAAGTATATTTCCATATGTTGATTTTACTTGTACCTATAAATGTATATAATTATGCCTTATTTTTTTCAAACTTATTTAAAATTTATGATTAGCATTTATATTTTTACTCTTTGTTATTGCAATATAATGTAATGTGTGAGCTACTGTGTTCAAATAATTTCCCTTGTGGATCAATAAATTCTATCCACAAGTACAATTTTTGATATTTGCACTTTACTACAGTAGGCTGCAGTACTTTTACTACTTTTACTTTATTACATTAACTCACGGGATATGGCATTGTGTTTTATTTGGATATCCACAGTCATCATCATTAATCATTAACTTTTATTTATTATAACAAAAGCAACTGATCCAGCTCCATGAACCAACCGAAAGACAAGATTTCCAAAACAATGCACGCTTTTGTTCGAAATCACTGCCCTAAGTTCCCATTTCTTGCATGCATGCTCACTCAGCACTACATTTGGTGCATATGCTGTTGATTAGTACTTCGCTTTGTCTGTTTTGCACATGACATGCCCACTGAACACAAACAGCTTATGTCTGAGCAGAGTTACACAGAAATGAAACTCATGGAGAAAAAAAAAAAAAAAAAAAAAACAAGGACGGGAGTTTGGTTGACATGCAGAGTTATCAAAACATGCACAGAAAAAAAACACACACACATTTTTCATATAATATTTATGCTGCATTCTGTGGAGACCTTGCAGATGAGAAAAATAATGTTTGTAGCAGTAGTGGAGTATTGCAGTATTGCAGCCTATATTGAAAGGACAAGTAAGGCCAATAGAAGGGTGAAGACTGAACTTATCAGAAAGTACTTTGTATATTATCTGTGGTGGGCCATGCTGTTTTTACTGTTTGCTGTTAAGATAAGCATTTACTGCAAATGAGTATACAGTTTAGAGGGAGTTGCTCAAGTAAAAGTAAAAAGTACTTACAAATACTAGCATAAAAATATAATGTGTTTGATTTTGTAGGTAAACTCTCAATATTTTTTTTTTTATATCTTACTTTTTAAATCTCTTATGTTTCTAATACTGCTGCTGTTACTACTACTACTACTACTACTACTACTACTACTACTACTACTACTACTACTACTACTACTACTACTACTACTACTACTACTACTACTACTACTACTACTACTACTACTACTACTACTACTACTACTACTACTACTACTACTACTACTACTACTACTACCACTACTACTACCACCATTACTACTACTACTACTACCATCACTGCTACTACTACTACTACCACCACTACTACTACCACCACTAGTACTACCACCACTACTACTACCACCACTACTACTACCACCACTACTACTACCACCACCACTACTACTACTACCACCACCACTACTACTACTATTACTACTCATGTTACGGCAGCTGTACTATGAAATCACTTTACTTTAACTTGTTGCTACCAATACAAAAATGACTATTGTGACATCCACTTTTGTTTTGTGTGCAAACATTGAGACGTAATGCAAAAAATAAATAAACAAACAAACAAATACATATAGAATATTTGATAAAAATCTAGGTTATTCTATAAAATTTTGTAAAACATAAATTGCTAATGCGAAATATATCTACAGTATATGAAGATTCCAGACAGGCTTTTTGTGTAGAAATTGCAAAACATTTTAAAATCACCATTGATGTAGACTGTTTGTACACAGCAAAACAAAAGATCGGCGTCTGACCTTAAGCTGAGTACTTGAAAATCATGTTTACCTTGTTTAAGTAATTAGTCTGAAGTACAAAATGAAACTTAAAGAGCACCACCACCCTTCAGTCTACCACTTCACAGTTTAAAAATACTCTTAACTTTCTATTTCCCTTGCCAAATATTTCACAAGGTTATTGCTTAGTAACACATATATCTTTGCACATCACCATACTAGCTCATGCATCTGACACAGGGGCTCCTCCAGTTTTCCTTACTATGTGAAACTCAAAGTGTTGCAAGTGTGTGCTGATTTTATCAAAACTGTTTAATGGCCAAGTGCAGACTAGTGCATTGATCTGGCGCCATATTAAAGGGGAGATTTGCAATTCAAATTTAGCTTTCATTATATTACACAAAACTATCTCTTGTGAGCTTTAAATCATGTTAGAATATTGTCACCTCCTCAAAAACATACCTGGAGTTGTGTTTTGTTCTACCTTGTAATGTCACGAAGGGGAAGTTTTCAAAATAACATCCACCTTTTTTTTTTTACCTTTAGTTGAGCAGAGATCGGCATTTCCAGGACTGAAATAATCCGAATTATTCTAGTAAAGGTGTGTGGAGTTTAAAAGGTCACACTCCAGGTCACACATGTAGGTTTCAAAGACGTCAGGTAGCAGATTTTCAGCAAAAGAAAAGAAACGCATACATTAAAACCTGCTGTTTGCTACTGTGAAATGAAACTATAGAGGCGTTTACAGACCTGTTTCTATAATTAAGATGAACATAAGCACTAATTATGATCCAGGCATGTGATAGATTTGTATTAAATTCCTGAAAAAAAAGCATATTATCTCTTCTTTAAGTCTGTTTGCAGTATAACAAAAATAAAAGTTGCCAAGAACCTGTTTAGAAAAAACAAAAAACAAAAAACAAACAAAAAACCCCACATAGGCTGCGCTTAAGTAAGTTTACTAAGTAACTATTACACATACTTCTTCTCCAAACTCAAGGGAATAAGATGACTCCAAAGGTCACTGCTTGAAAATCTTAGTAATCAGTAAGTTTCTTATAGAACTTTTAGTTTAGGTCATCCAATTTATTTACAAAAACCCCTCAGGCCTACTCAAAAGTTGTAAATAAAATGACCATAATTGGATATTTTCTATTACATCATCTTGACTCTAAACTAGTATTAGTAATTTTAATGTGTCTTCTATTACAATAAAGAGGAAGTGCACATGACACAAAATCAGCTGTCTTTTCCAGATCAGTGAACCCATCAGAGAAACGATATATTGTCCAGTCTTGGTTACTGTCATGTTTACTATTTTTCTATAAGTCTCGCAGTGATGTGGTTTTGTGGTTTGGACTGCAACCATTGGTAGAAATACAAGACTTGCATTAAAACGTGGTGGCGCGTTTCACTTTCGTTTATTAAAAGAAGTCGAATGTTTGACTAGAAACTCAGTCGACACGTTGACGGGGGAGGGGCCTGTCAGTGAAGGTGGACTACAGTATAAAAGAGAGAGAAGAGCAGAAACGCGATCAGAGTTTTGTTACGAAAAAGCAGAAACGCGCAGACCTCAAAGTGAACCGACTGTTTAATAATAAGCAGCGTAGCGCATTTACGTCACCCTCGGATTTACGCACAGTTTTTGGAGGGATTTAATGATCTTTAAACGCTCAACGGTGTCCATGCACAAAAAATACGGTAAGGTTTTCAAGACGATTCATTACGCACACTTAGATTATTTTAACCAAAACCGCAATTCGCTAGATGTCGTGAGATTTATGGTTTCTAATCCTGTTCTAAATCGAGCGTAAAAGTTACGTGTCCCATACCCATAAAGTTCTTAAAATGGGCAAGGATATGTAACAGTACTCAAAAGTAATAGGATCCAAACAATCACGTCATTTCTCCATAAAACTGGAACAATGGAGCAAAAAGAGTGTTGAGTGGAAAAGTCTAGACCCATCTGTTGTGGAATGGTTTGTCTCTTCAGCAAAGAGAGAACAAAGAGAATCTCATTGACTTAAAAGTCTAGAGTTTGTCAGTGTTTGTGAGTGACTTTTATTAATGGATCTTGTGTATGTTTTGTTTGCAGGATGGTAGTGCAGTGGGCAGAGATGGGAGAGGGTCTGGGTGGAGGATGGTAGCCAACAGCACCCTGGAAGGTCTTCATGACTGCACACACTCGCTCTCATCGTCCTCTGCCTCGTCCTCTTCATCCTCCTCTGGGTCCTCTTTGTCCTCATCATCATCCCTGTGCTCCTCTTCGTCCTCTTCGTCGGTGAGCCCACTCAGTTGGGAGGATCTTCAGAGAGTCCCTCCTCCTGCTCCGGTGCACAGATCTGTCCCCTGTGTTTACCTCACACATTTCCCAGTCTTCTCCTGTAAAGAAGACTGTGACATCATCACGGACACGGCCTCTAAGCTGGAGCGCAGTGGGTTCTACTGGGGTCCTCTGGGTGTGGAAGAGGCTCATCGTCTGCTCAAAGAGGCTCCTCTGGGCAGTTTCCTGATCCGAGACAGCCGTCAGAAGGACGTGTTCTTCACTTTGTCCTACCACTCCAAGAGCGGCCCGGTCAGTGTCCGCATTGAGTTCAAGAAGCAGCGATTCTCTTTGGCTGGAAACGAGCGCTCCTTCCCTTCACTCTTTGCTCTGTTAGAACATTACATCAGCTCACCCAAGAAGAGCCTAAGTGTGCCCTACAGGAAATGGGAGCCCACTCTGCAGGAGCTGTGCAGAAAGAGAGTGTTGGAGCTGAGCGGGGACTTAGGTCACATATCAGAGTTGCCCATCACCAGAGTGGTCAAAGACTTCATACAAGAATTTCCCTACAAGTTATGAGTGTGCTCTGCTCTGTTCTGTGCGCACCTGCCCTGACTGCTCTGTCACAGAGACACTGGGCTCCTGTTTGGGAGCTCAAACCCAGTCAGATATTTCATGAACATTACAGGACTATCCTCAACAGTTCAGTGAAAATGACCTTTAGTCTATTTATACGCTGGAAAAAGAATACTCATATGTCAAATAGTGCTGCTGTGTTAAAACAAAACCACAGGGAGAGAGTAAAAGCGCACACAGCTCTGGGCCTACGGGCTTCTCTGGGAAATGTAGCACCTGAGCTTCTACCACTGGAGGCGCTCTTACGTTTACACAGGACACTTGGAGGAATACAAGCCTGGTGGAGAGTACGGTTAAAACCAAACATGTGTAGCACAAACTATTTAAAACTCTAATGTGAAAGTTTACATTCTGAATGTATACTCGCACTGGCTCACATACCATCATTGCTATCTGATGTCATTGGTCAAGAAGATGGTGTAAGAAACAGTGTGCTCTGTACTGTATCATCCAAATTATGATCTATTTTTTTAAGTTTTATTTACTAATATTATTAAATTAAATGTTCTAACTTGAAACCTTGTTGGTGTTATCATTGTGACGCAGACAGGAGGGGCCACAGTGTAACGTACAGTATCATCCCCACAATGATTCATCTGTGGAGCCTGTGTGGAGCCTGCAGACACTGGTGGGCGGGGCTACTGGGGCAGTCAATGGCCTTTTACCAGAAACATACTAATAGTGCGGGCGTGAATACTAACCTAGCAAAATGAGAAATGCATCATAGTGTAAAAGTCTGTGAGGAAGTTTTTTTTTCTTCTTACCTTTTTTTTTAATCCTTTTAAGTTATTGGTAAGAAAGTGACGGGTCAGAGTTCATTCATATTCACTACTACCGTTGTTCACTACTGGGTGCGGCGTCGGTGCACTCGAGAAGCAAGTGCTTATAAGACCAGCCATGACTCACAGTAGTGTATTATAATAAAAGAATGTAGCTCATGCCATACCATAAAAATAAATGAACTAGTATCTTAACGGTAATTTGTACATTTTCTTAAACGTATTTCAGCCTTTATAAAATGGAATATTTTTTAGGGAAAACTTTTAGCAACTCTGTCTATAATTAGAGGTGGGTGGAGTGGCCAATTTGTATTTAAGGTTAATAATAATTTTTTTTAGCAATAATAATAATAATTTGACATTACAAAGTAGTACAAAGTGGTGATCAGATAGATAAAAATATTAAATAAAGTGCCTTTTGTCTAACCAAAACTTTTACTCAATGAAACAAAAACTAAATATTCAAGAAGTAAAAGTACCCAGTTTCTGACAACTACCATTACACATTTGACACTTAATGATTCATACTGGTGTATTGAGAAAAGTAAGTGGTTAATTTTCATTTTGTATATCCTCATATTTATGTCAAATGATGTCAGCACTTCTTTTAAACCCTCTCTGTGCGTAGTGATCAAGAGCGTGTTCCTATTTCTGTACTATTTAAAGTTTAAGTGAGAGGTCATTTTGAACTTTCTGTCACTGGTAACCAAAATCTGCTATTTCTTGATACTAGCAACACATGTCAAGCTATCGTAACACTACCGGGAACACACAAGACTGCGCACATGTGCCGAGACTTCTCTGAATACAGCAACCACAGAAAAGCAACACGTATAGACCACAAGATCACACAAGGCCCCACCACGTTGCATTCATGTCAACAACTCAGGCCCTTATAGGAACGCAAACCACGAAAATCAAATAGTACTCAAACTATTAAGTACGAGGCAGTATAGAAGGTTGTTGTAGTAGAATAATTTATTGCAGTTACTTTTTCTTCAATAATTTTACAGTCAAAAGCATTTACAGGGCATACAAACGTACACACGCACACTACAATCATATAGGCTAGAGGTGGGCCATATTGGTACACAATTTAGTTTTGTTTTATTTCAGTAATTATCTGATTTTCCACAATCCAGTATTGCGTTGGAATATGAGTACATGGTTTGGTTGAGGTTCCAGTATTGCACAAAAAGTGAATGTGCAAGTATGACTGAAAACAAAAGTGAGGAAAAACCACTTTCTAGCAAGTTTTGAAAGGTCACATGAAAGGTTTCGGTAGCACTTTATAATAATTACACCTAATTATCTGAATTACCTCAAGACTTAAAGGGTCCATATGATGCCATTTCCTGATCTATGTTATAATGTTGTTTCCACATCAAAAACACACCTAGAGTTCCCTTTTGTTTCATTTGCTTAATGTTTAACACACAAATCTTGCATATTTAGGCTTCGCTCAAACAGAAAACACCCTGTTCCACCTTGTGATGTCATGAGATCCACTGTGTTTTTAAACTCCATGCACCTTCACCAGAGTTATTTGGATCATTTCCGCTCTGGAATTTCCAATCTCTGCTAAACTAAAGGTAAAAGGAGGTGTTAACTTGAAAAATACAGACTACAGATATGTACAGGTTTGTTTTTGAGGAGGTAATAACATTATAACATGGCTTAAAGCTCACAAGAGTCAGTTTTTAACATTAAAGTCTGAATGATTTGGGAAAAAATACTGAATTGCTTCCTTTCTGGGAAGCATGGTGTTTACGATTTGATTTGCAGTTTATGTTTTTACAAGCGATTCTCTGTTACTGAAATATGAACTAGGCAACTAACGCCAGAATCACATTTCAGAGCATGTTCGCACAGATTTAAACTAAACTGAGTCAGCTGTTTTTATGGACACAGTTCCGGTTAAATTGCAATTTTGACATGATGTGCGATTTATCTTGCAACCCTGCTAAGAATGATTAAGGCTTAGTAACTAAACTAATACCCTAACCCTTTAATTAAGTTAGTTTATGAGGAATGCTTCAGGTTTAGTGTCTCAGTAGCTATTTGTTTATTATGAATTCAGTCTTTCTTGATGCGTGATTAATGATAATTAAGATGCAATCATTATAAAGTGCAGCCCAAGCTTAATTTCAGCAGATTTTAAATGATTTTATAGACAATATTCTAATCGTGTATTGTTCAAAATATCAGTATTACTTAGTACATAACAACATATAGCCCACCTCTATCATAAATGAGCACTGGAAGTTGTCACAGATCCAAGCCCAGTGCACCAGTGATCACTACCACTGCCATTCTGCTGCTATTTACAAGAACCATAAGGAAATACTAAGAGAAAAACTCCATAAAGAGAGTATTGCTCTGAATTTCTTATTTATAAAGTGGATGACTGTACAGTGTAAGAAACAACCCACTCGTAATAATCATTAAGACTGTACAATATAATGGCACAGAAAGGAAAAAGTCAAAGATCAATGGCCGTGAGAGGTCGCTATGACATTCTGTGCTTTGTTTGTGTCCAAAATAGACTTAGAAATCCCATTCAAACGTACAGAGAGACGCCAGCATACGGAAACTTGTATTACATTCACCTGTCAGCTCTGATTAGCTTTTGCAGAAGTAAAGCTGTGTTGTTTCACTCATTACACAAAGTGAGAGAGGCTGCGCTACTCTCCAAATTACAGCTTAGTCATGTCGCAGAGAAAGAGCATTTTCAGAAGGTCTTGAGTTCTCGTTTCGATCCGGTCTGTTAAGGTACAGTCCGTGTCAAGTGCTTCCAGGAACACGACTGATGCTGTTGGTGCATGGCAGGGCGTGCTGACTGTACATTCACGCACTGCTGGCCATGTGAGACACAAGCCACGGGTTAATTAGTAAAGCAGCTATACGGAACATTAGACTGCAGTCATCGTAGCTGTTCATTCACGGTGTGCGTCTATATTTAGCGTGTTTATTTCAGTGAGCGTCAACCCTCTTGGACTCTTATCAAATGTGACGTTGCCATAAAACTGCAGATTAAATTCACGATATTGCACTTCAACATATAGAACTCAACGCGGCCCAAGTTTATACCTGTTTCTTAGTTCGTGTGTGTTAAAATGAATGATACACAACTGGTAGCCTGAATCGAAGAGTGTGAAAAGCACAGATGGTTGTAGGGGTGGGCGATATGGCAAAGAATTCGATCACAATTTTCATTTTCATTTTCATGTACGCTTTGATGCTAAGATGTAAATAAAGTCATCTGCATCTTTTAAATAATCACGCCTCTCTGCGATTGGTTTAATTCCGCTGTCACTCACTCAGAGCCTTATAGGAACCACAGACTGTAAAAAGAAGTGGACATGATGCTTAGGGGTGTGCAAAAATACTGAAATATTGATATATCGTGTCGTTTAATGTGCTGATACAGTATCGATATTGTGGGCTGCTGTATTGATATATCACCAAGAGTATTTTTTGGTATATTTTACTAAATTATTTTGTTACAGTGCTACAGTTTTGTTGCTTGTTTAGAGGCAGGAAATTCGTTTGTGCAACACATTTCGCATTTTCACCATTTTGATGATTAAAGTGGGCGTTTCATATTAACTTTACACAAAAAGTGGTTTAACAAATCATCACAGCCATGATTAAGCAAATATTTTTTAACTAATCAATTTGAAATATATCCTATTGAATAGAAAGCTCACTGTATCGAGGTATGCATCGTATCGACAACTTCTAAATGATATCCAGCCTTAATGATGCTAGTGGTTATGGGACAAATATGAAGCTACTTATTGGGAACAGAAATTTATTTACGGACAAAATTGCGAAATGAAAAACCCAGGATCACGTAGAGGGGGTTAATACGAACATTTTAAGACCAAATGATGAGACTCGCTGCAACAGTTAGTGAGAGAGGGGTGACAATTTTTCAATGTAGTCAATTAAAGTCGATGGAGCCAGAAGCACAAGAAGAGTTTCTATTTAGAACAAGGCAGGTTCACTAGAGGGTTAGTTTTGTCTATTTACAGTCAGGACGAACCTATGAGAGAAGAGGGAGTGTCTGTTTGCCCAAAGACTTACATTAAATAGGAGAAATAGTGAAAATAGTATATCCTCCCTTGCATAAGATCACTACTCGAATTTTATCACCATATCGCCCAGCCCTAAACAGTAGTATTGAGACAGACACGCCCCACACACTGTAAGGACACAGCAGCTGTTGTTTGTGGCAGGTGAAGTATGTGTGATGGTATCTGATTAAAACAAAGAGCTAAAAACACATTTGCATGATGTCTGCAGTGGCAAGGACGGACACATCCACAGAAAAAGTCCATTAAAAGCCTGTGAGAGACTCTGAAAACAGAAGGAGTAGAAAGGTTGCTGGTTGTGCCTATTGACGCGTGTACTGAGGACACGCTGGTGCAGGTCTTCTCCCCTAACGAGAGTCATGTTTTAAATAGATCACTTGAGTGTTGATAGTGGTACAAACACTGGTCGTGCTCCTGTGCTTGAGTCCTAGTCCAGTTCAGGTGAGTCTATGGTGTCACATTGGACTGTGGGTGCTCGGGTGAGTCTTCATCAGTGGGTGTCATTTGCTCTTCTTTAACAGTAGCATCTGTCTCCTCTTCTTCCTCATCTCCCGTGTGTCCTGGCTCCTTCTCTCCCTCCTCTTCCTCTTCTGTGATGGTGTCCTGTCCTTTGGGGGGGTGGCTGGTGCAGGGGTGGAGGTGCGGCGAGTCAGCAGGGGGCAGTAGAGTGAGTGACTCCACACTGAGGCTGTCCGTGGTGTTGTCTGTGAGGAGGGAGATGGTGGGCTGGGCGGCTGGGGTCAGGCTGGGGGCCAGCACAGGGCCGTGTGCAGAGGCAGGAGCGCCCTCTTCTGGTGCTGAAGAGGCAGGGGGGGTATATGCAGACAACACGCTCTCATCTACAAATACAGACACAACAGGGTCATTCTACATACCGCTGATCAACTCAACTCAAATGATATCAGCAAAAATGTAGTATCAGTAGCAATCAGCAGATCCAGTGCACATACTGCAAAAGAATGGGAATTATGCTAAGCTGATGGTTAAGAAAAACAATAGCTCTTCTGAGAAAAGCATCATTGGTTTGTTCTAGAACTGGTTTAGCTCACATCTGTACACAGTTTTGTTAAAACCCACATGAATCACCTACACTTGCACTTAAAAGTGCACTGTCACATTTTTCTGGTGGAGAGTCTGCCACTTGTTCTCTCTGACATGTTATGCTCTGCCAGAAATGTTCCACAGAACAGGATTAAACTAATCTATATTAAGGACTCCCTTGAAAAAGATATGATGCATCTCAAGGGCCAACCCAAAATAAAATATTGCATGTATTTGATTAGCTGAAATGTTATTGATTAAGAATAACAAGCATTCTTAATGTTAGTGGGGTCACTTCTCCACAGATCTGGCATACATAGTTACATCTGCTGCACCTGCTTTTTAATGCCATTTTAAAAATGTGAAAAACAGAACTAAACTGCAGTCAAAACAAATTCCTCACTTTCCAAATTCCAAGCATTCAAATTATTCACCTTGATGAGTTCATGACATTCAGAGGCCAGAGCAGTTATTCTGTGTTTGTGAAAAACACTCTATAATTGGACCCTTAGGGCTGCTTTTACAACCATATAAATAAAGCCTGTACAGCCTCTTTTAAGAGTTCTGTTTGTATGTGCCTGTGTGTGTTACCTGCAGGGCTCTGTGTTGACACTGTACTGTTGGTGACAGAATCACAGCGACCTGTGCTTCCACTGCCGCTGGAGGTGGGAGAGGGGGAGGACAGGGGGGAGGGGCTGTGCTGGGACACACAGTGGGCCACTGCAAAGCCTGGGTATGACAACATAAACTCAGCATCACTACTGACATCATTTGTGGTCAGATACAGTTTCTATAGAAATACTTCTGCTGCATTAGTTAAGAAGTTTCAGAGATCATATCCTGAACACATTTCCTCATAACATCTGTAAAGGTCAAAATGTTTTGCTAAGATGACTACAGTCAAAAGGTAAGATAACTTTTGACTGTAGTTAAATGTTTTGACTGGCTGTGTTCATGTATATATATATATATATATATATATATATATATATATATATATATATATATATATATATATATATATATATATATATATATATATGTCTATTTCACAAGTATGGTTCCTTCAAAAGTGATACAAAAATTACCACAATCTGATATCAGCCATGGAATGATTTAGGGCAGGACATTTTTTCTCTTAACTAACTCACTTATTATAATTTTTTATGAATTGTCTCGGAATATAAATTTCATGACCATAAACCAGACTGACTTTTTATTTAGCAATATTAATTATAAAAAAATTGCTTTTAACTGACAGGGAATCATGGTCTGGTCCAGAGAGTAAATAACGGTCTTAAAAATTGAATAAATATAAGAACCACAGTGATGGGAACACTTAGATGACTATAAAACATAAACCACTATCCATTTACTAGTGCACAAAGTTAGGCATCAAAATTATACATTTATAATGGTAATAGGCAATAGCACAATATGTATAATTTGAAATCCCTTGGTGAGCTACTTAGAAGGGGGAAAACTACAAGTTGGAGACCTCTGCTGTAGACCCTTCTGTTCAAAGGCCCAAGCTGAACATTGAACTACTGGATTTTGATTGGGTTCAAGTTGATTGTATTGCTCATGTCCAAGTATTACCTGGTACTTTATCCACAGAAGCGAAAACAGATCTGTTCGCCGTGGGGTCGTTGGGGGCTCGTCTAGACTGCTCGTAGAAGCGGAATGGGAGGCCTCCTGGTGATGGATTCACGGTCTGTCCAAAACCCAGCACTTCAGAGGCACTTGGCTGCACAGGGAGGTCTAAGAGAGCTACATACAACCTCAGTATTAGACACTAGCACACAGCTGACAGAATAGGCAGGACAGTGGCTCTAGTTCTCACCTGCAATCCTCTGCATCTTCATTCGCCGGGCCTGGATGCGTCCTTTGGCCAGTCTCTGCTTGGCGATGATGCAGCGTATGTGGTCAGCAAATATGAAGTTGGCCTGCAGAATGGGCAAGGGCTTGGCGTGGGGGTTCGAACTGGGTTTATGGATCACTATGTTTAAGGCTCTACTGTCGTCTTCAACACCTGAGACTTGCATGTCCTGTTAATAAAATATATATATTTTTAGATTAAAAGATTGTCACAAATATGCATTAACATTTCTGTACAACAAACTTGTATAACATAGTTTTTCCTTACTTGAAGAAGGCCAGCAAATTTGACCACACCCCATCCAAGGCGTTTGGTGTCCGGTTCTACAAGGCTCATCTGATAGATGTCCACAGCCAGGAACCTCTGTGCCTGGAGCCCATCTTTACTGACCACCATACAGGCGATGAGGTCACTGTTATCTGAAGCAGACAGCACCACAGGCTTCTGTGTTTAATCACGTCTTATAGTGAAATCAAATATAACATATACAAGGAAAATATTAACAAAATGATTCGTGGAACAGAGACACATGGGCCTCACTGAGCGACAAGTGCGTGGGAAACCAAAACGTTGTAATAAATTTCTTAGAAAGTTTGCAACAAATACAATAATTGTCTATATGTTTTCTATGAAATGCTATCTCACAAATGTCTATGTTTTTCAGAGATAATAATCACTGGAAGAAGAAAGTATCAGTTCTAAGTTAATCAGGAGGATATGGGTTAAAATGAGGGTTAGGTTCTGAGTATGCAGTAGCATTTGGTGAGTCAGCCTATGTCTTACTGAGATCTAACACGTCATCAGTCTTGATGAGGTCCTCGGGTCTGGTCAGAGGCAGCTGTGTCTCTGGTTCTCCCTGAAGCTGGAGTGACAACGAGCGCAGCATGAAAAACACACGAATGGCCTGTGTAGAGAGAGACACAGAGAGAGACAGACAGAGAGAGAAAGAAAGAAAGAGACAGAGAGAAAGAGAAAGAGACAGAGAGAGGACATGTTAGGTGTTAGTGTTTACATGAGTCTAAACCTGTGCATATGCATTAGGACATACTCGTCTTGTCTTCTCCACATCCCCACAGGGCAGCCTCTTCACAAAGTCGATGCCCGTGAGAGGGGTGACGGTTGGGGGCAGGAGAATGGAGGCATCCATCATGAGATACTCCACATTTAGGGGTTTACTCTGCAGCACAGTTTATATTGAATTACATGATTCGTCCACTCTTTAGTAAAAGAATTTAATTTAAACTATTGCTGAACTGAATATTACGGTCAACTAACCGTCATGCTCCTGTACTCATCCTCAAACATGTCCAGGAATATCTCCTCCCCCTGAGGCGGGACAAATAATTCAGTATGTTAATAATGAAGAGAATGAGTTTGCATTCCTTTAAGGTCAATAAAGTATCTCTCTACATGTAAAACTAATTTAACAAATGCAGGATTACAAGTGATGTGCGCATTTGTAAAGCAGCTCATTTGTTTGTCTGAAACGCACCTTGTAAAATGTGCGCAACAGATGGAGGCTTTCTTCACGAGCGCCCTGCAAGCAAGAACAAGAGGTTTTAATGTTATTAAGTTATTTCCCCTGTTGATCAGCAACACTGGTCCAAGTCTTATGTAAGACACATTTTCACATTCTTTACACTGGGTTTAGACTTTAGTAATTACAATAATAACCCCAAAACAAAAACTATAACCAGAGTCCACCAAACAATGATAAATTAGCACAGGTTAAAGTAGGAACAGATAAACAGTATTGTGTGTTACCTCAAGGCACGCGAGGTGAACGTCTTTTATTATGCAGTCGTTGCCAGAGAGCACAGACTGCTTCAATAAAAGGCAGCTAAGTTCCAGAGTGGCGAGGCGCACTCTGCCATCTGCAAACACAGGACACAGCACACACGTGTTTAGGATGTTATGATAATATGAGTGTGTTAAAAGTCCATATGGATACATTGGTAGCGGAGCAGGACTAGTACCTGGCTGTGCACACTGGCTCATGATCCTGATGAGTCTCTCCACCAGCACCACACTGTAGGAGCTCCTCTGCTGCTCAGGCACAGGCAGCTGTAGCCGCTCCAACACGTCTCGGTTTATACCTGCACAAACAGAACAATACAGGCACGCTACATCAGAGGCACTGCACATGTGACATCTTTGTTTGGATGTGTTTTTGTACATGTTAGAAGAATAAAAAGAAGGAAACTTAAAAGAGGCAGTGAGTTGAGGGCTGACCTTTGCTGTGGGAGATGGCATAGAGCAGGCACAGGACAAACAGGGCCTGATAGTCATCTGTAGTGCAGTCCAGGGCCGTGTACACCATGTCTAAAAAGGGCCTTCACAAACACAAATGCCTCTTTAAGATCATGGTCAGGAGACTACACATGATAACTTCCACTTATGACTCATGTTTATGCAAGTGCTTTATGAAATTGCACAGTTCTCTATTACAAGAAACAACCTAATCTCATTTCTTAAGGAAAGGCAAGGTTTGTTTGTATAACACAATCTATACACTTAAAGAAAGAATACATCATAATTTCTGCTGTCCTAGTGATCGATTACAATTTTGTAACATATTTGATTACAAATAAAGATCTGTGGTCCTACCTGTGTGTACATGCAGGTTGCTGCTGCCGTCTTCTCCTCGTCAGTGATGTTTTGTTCGGTGAGCTCTGACACCTTAGATTTATCCATGACCACCATCTCTATCTCTGTCCACAGCAAAACTTCACTTCAGCTACTAACTTCAGTTACAGTTAAGTATATTGGAACTTAAGCTTTACACACCAATGAGTGTCACCAATGAGGATGTGATATGAAAGGATTCCTTCATAATATTTGATAATATTTGTAAAGCATTCTATGTTTACTGTAGAATATTATAGTACATTTATTATTATGAATAATGAGTGCAGAAGGAATTGTTTCATATCAGTGATTATAAACACACATGCACACAGAGCCAGAGTGAGAGACAGACGGAGAGGTGAGGAGCACAGGTGGAATGGTGTCACCCTGTGGGAGAGAGCTAGGACCACCATAGACCAAACAAATGTGTATGAACACACTGGGCAAACAAGGGATTTCTAAAGGGCAGTTAGGTTCTTTAGTTTACTGTAATTAACTTCTCATGTTAAATTACAATAATTAAATAGCCATGTGACTTTTAGTGATATTTAGTCCAATTGATTGCATTGGGAAACAAAAACAATGAAAAATATCTGGAATTCTAAAATTTGTTACATAAGCTTTAGGAAACGGGGGCTGGAGTTTTATGGATGGCGGGTTGGATGAGAATAACACACAGAGGCCGTACATATGGTGGCCTGTGAGGCACACACTCACCTTCGGCTGTCTCCCCACTGGCTCTGCTTCCCTTAGAGCTCCCACCTGCCACTCCCTCTGTACCTTTGGCCTTCTCTCGGACCCCCTCTCTCTCGTCCCAGCCATCGTCCCCCTCACCCCCGCCTAAGCCCGCCCGCTCTTCCTCCTCTTCCTCGCCCAGGTTCTTATAGTTGGGCCTCTTCTGGGTCTTTTTGCGGCCACGGTGACGGGACATTTCCAGAGAGCGCTCCAGTGACTCGGGGGGCTTGATGAAGCGACGCATTCCACCTGCACTGGCCTGGACGGAAAAGAAAACAAGGAGGAAAAATAAGAACGGTTTGACTGTGAGAATAGAAAAATAACCAGGCTTAAAGTTATCCATTTTATAAAGAGTTATTGTCACACAAAATATGAATAAGTCATTCAAACAATATACACTGCCACTGTGTCCATGGGCAAGACGCTACTCTCACACAACTCTATTCATAGCTTTCAGGCAAATGAGGAAGGAATTTTTTTACGAGAAATCCATGAATACATTCTTGGTTGCACCTGGAAGGGCAAAACAACAAAAAAACACATGTGCAAAAAGCAAAACATGTGTACTGACATAGACGCATGAACAGAGTAACGCTTAAGGAGAAGTCAGACCACAGAGTAATATAAACGTGCACTGTTCTGGTAAACCGCGCACACTCTGAGCCAATGCTGAGAAATCAATGGAGGTCATCACTCACACATCTGTGCATGCCAACTACAGTGTGCACTTGAAAGGGACCGGTGCAGTATGAAAGAGGGGAGGTGGGTTTCTTATATGCAAATGTTCTCCAGCAGGTACAGTAATGAAATGGTGCAGCCGTGCGCAAACGTGCGCTGCAGAAGAGAAAGAAAAAAAAAAAAAAAGTGCTTCCAGGAAAAGATCTGGGTTAGGTGAACCTGCTCTGTCAGGGCACTGTCATGTGACCTCACTTCCTGCCACATCAAACACACACAGAGGAAGTGCCACCAACCACCTGCACTGACATCGGGCCGTACCCCTCACATGTCCCACATTCAAATCACACAATCACCGAGAGGACCGATTTTAGTAATACTACGAAAAACAAAGATGGTTAAATAACAAGAAAAAGGAAAGAAAAATACAACAACACATATGTACTACTGATAAAATGTCCTATATTATGCAAAAGTGACTCCTGTGAGCTTTGAGCAACGTTATAATGCTGCTACCTCTTCAAAAACATACCTGTAGTTATGTTTTGTTTCACACATTTTTGAGTAATCCTGCATTTTTCAGCTGTCTACATCTCCAAAGTTCCAAATGCTCTGTTCCACCTTTGGATGTCATGAAGGGGTAATTTTCTAGTCAGGTTGGTGCCACCTAGTGCCTCTGCTCATTTTCATTTCTCTCTAGCAACTAGGACAGGAATCAAAATACGATAGACGGTTCGCAAAAACCCCAGAAGTGTGAGTTCGGGCACCAGCCAATCAGCGAAGAGCCGTATATTCGGTGTTGTCAACGATTTCCGAGATCAAGGATTTAAAGCCAGAATAAAGAGAATGTTTGGTAAATTTTATCAAGGGGAAAGACGTTATTGCCCTTCTTCCTACGGGATTCGGGAAAAGCTTAATATACCACACATGACTGTCAAATAGCAGCAACTGGTTAAATGATAAAAAGTACCCGCCTCCCATCAAGCGAAGGAATTCTAACACTGCAAGACGGTTTCTATGAAGTGAAACGAAGTGAAACTGGCAGATGGATCAGGCTAGTAATTTTCATATTAAAAGCAACATTGTACCCTTAGGTCATTAGAGACTGGCAATTCAAGAGCTGAAATCATCCAAATGATTCTAGTGAAGGTGTGTGGGGTTTAAAAAAAACAGTGGAGCCACTTCTTGTATTACCACATGGCATCACAAGGTGGAACAGTGTTTTCCGTTTGTGGAAATGCAAGTCTATTTACAACCCACAGCTCATCCAAAATGAAACCAACAAACAAATAAAACAAACAAAACAAAACAAAACCAAGCACTCTGTCTAATCATTTTTTTGGCTAAAATAATAAAATACTGTGGCTTTAATGGTCCATCAATGAATATGTCACATACGTTGCTCACACAGTATACATGTAGAGTTTGTGTCAAAGTGTGATTGTGAAAACAGTTTTTAGCTCATGTCCTCATGTTGTGTGGTTGACCAATATTGTAAGTGCACTCCCCCTCTTTGGCATGTTCAGTGAAAAGGTAGGCTGCTTCTTACAAAAGCCACAAGTCTAGCACACGCAGACACACAACTCAGTAAAAAAAACAAAAAAAAAAAAACACGTGGGTCAGATCTCAAACAAGGGGGGGCCATGACATCAAAGGGCACAAGTCATACAGACAGAAAGAGAGAAAGTAAGAGGAGAGGAGGAGTGTCAAAAGAGGAGTGAGGTTAACAGGAGGGTAGAGGGGGAGGTTTGGGGAAATCACAGCCAGGCCCATGGCACATCCAGAATCGAGACTGAGTAAGTGTGGTTTAGTACACAGGTGGGAGTGTGGGCTCTTTTTCATCACAGTGTGGCGACTCAAATCTATATATAGTTATTTACTACATGGTGATAAAAAGTAGGTCCCTGTGACATGCATTCTTCACTGTTAAATCAATGAGAAGTTTTAAAATTCAGATATTAATCTATATTAAGGCTGAACGGCTTAAATATCTAAATAAAAATATCTAAAGATCAATATGAGCTGATATCGATAGGATTCTTTCATATCATTATCAGCTGATTGTTAATATTTTTTGGATTCTTCCTCATTCATTGTGTGGCAAAATGGAAATTGAAGGAAATAAACGGTGACACATTATGTTATTAGATTTACAAAATTGAAAAGTTAATTTGTGACCTTTACTTGAGATAATTTTGTGTTATCAGCCACAGCTGCAGGACAAATATTGGATATCAGTATCAGATTAACAAAAATTGATTTTATTCTTTTGAGATAAGATATTTTGTTGGTTGTGGAGGAAATGATTACACTTCAAAAACTGCAGCCTTTGCACTTGACCTTGCAGCTTTAATCTGCATACACACTTGATTTGAGGGGGCCTGCTTTCCTTATGGATACAAACATTACAGCCCTATGATTAAAGCCTTTTTTTTTTATCATTAAATCAACATCATGTAGGTTAAAATAGGTTAAAGTTAGCATTTAGGTTAAGGTTAGGTTTCCATGAAATGAATGTAGGTCAATGTAATTTCCCCAAAAACTATGATAACGCAGCATTTATGTGTGCTTATATGTGTGTAAGAAGAGTACAAATGAAAAAAAATCTTTCGTTTATCAGTAAAAGTGTGGTGTGTCTTACCATAAACGTATGTGCACTTTGGATGTCTGTTTGCTGAGTGAAAACAGACAGGTCCCCATTGAGGATCACATCGGCTAAAGAGTTGACTAGAGGCTGGTAGTGGATGATCAAGAACACCTGAAAGCACATTACATTTAGTTGTATCTAAAAGGATCTCCATCATTTTCAGAATTATACATTTAAAAAACATTAAGTATTTTAATCATGTAGCAGTTGCTCACTTGAGACAGCAGATAGAGAGAGACTTGAGGGTTGATTTTTCGCTCTTCAGACTACAAAAAGTAAAAAAAAAAAATAAAAATCAGTTGTGGTTGCGAATGAAAACTTACATTAAAGGACTCATATTACACTGTTTTCTGATCTATGTTATAATGTTGTTTCCTCATCACAAACAGACCTGAGATGTGTTTTGTTTCATTCACACATGTTTAACAACCAAACCCTGCATATTAAGGCTGAGTTTTTCTCTCAGAAAACAGAAAACATTCCACTTTTTGATAAATTGTGGTAATACAGGAAGTGCTCCACTGTGTGTTTAAACTTCATTCACCTTCAGTACAATTATTCAGATTATTTCAGCCTTGTAATTGCCAATCTCTGCTGAACTAAAGGTAAAAGATAGCTGTTAAATGCATGACATCCCAAGGTGGAGCAGAGCATTTTGAACTTTGGAGAAATAGAAAGACTGATAATAAATGATTACTCGGACATATGTGAATGAACCAAAATACAACTTCAGGTATGTTTTTAATGAGGTAACTACATTATAACATGTCTTAAATCTCATTTTGTGTAATATAGGACCTTTTAAAAGACAAAAGCTGAGACGGGGGAGCCTTACGATTTCGGGGTTGATCAGGGAGTAGACGTAGAGAGGCAGGAAGAGGCGGTTGAGCAGGTGGTCCGTGAGAACGTCGTTGAGGAACTCACAGTTGATGATGAGGATGTCGTTCAGGTAGTGCAGATGGTCCAAGTGCTCCGCCACCAGGTCGCTCAGCTTTCCACGGTTTTTATGTCTGCAGGAGAAAAAAGGGGGGGATTTGGGATGTTGTTGTTTTGTTTTTTAGGTTGCGTTCATGCTTTCGTAATGTAGGATGTCATACATTGAGATCTAAGGAAGATTTACTATATTTAAAAGTGTCCAAATACATAATCCACAAATGTTGGACTATAGACTATTTGGCTTTCCATATTAATCTCATGTCTTTAAGGTACATTGTGTAACTTTTCTGGTGGAGGGTCTGTCTAAGTAAAGATTATTTCTTTGTCTGGAATGCTTCAGATTATGGTATTAAACCTTTATATCTTCATGGAGACCAAACCAGACCAAGTTACATGTCAGATGTGGAGAGGAAGTCTGCTCACAGTCAGAACGCCTGATTGTTTAGGTATTTTTGGGCTTGTGAAAACCACTTGTGATTGAATAAACGTAAGGTAGAGCTGTGAAACACTCCAGGCAGAGCAATGTCATGTCCACACAAACAAGCAGGCGACAGAGCCTCAACCAAAAATTTACATAGTGCCATTGTAAAGTAAACAAAAAAAGAAAAAAACATTTATTTAGGGTTGATTAATGGCACCACTTCCTGGAGCTGTATTACTGGTTTATTGATGCTGTCAGAGAGGTCACTGGACTCTAGGCCAAGTAATTACAAAGATATTAACCCTAAACCAGGTCAACAAACCCGCAATCTGATCATTAAAAAGCAAATTCAAATGCAGATTTCTGACCTGTACTCCAGCTCAATTTGAAAGTAGAAATGTTGTGAGGTTACATGAGCTGTTATGTTATATGAAAAGTATTTGGAGTGAAACTAGTGACCTCTAGAGGTGAAAAGTACTCACTCTTCATCAGTCTGCACACATTTGTCCAGTTCAATCACATGGCTGCCGATAAACCAGACCAGGTTACTGAAGTAGGGGACCGCAGTCTTATCTCTTATGTAATGGAGCATGTGCTGGTTGTCCACTGCAATGAGTCACACATAAATGAATTCATGAACCTTATCCACAATACTTAGTTCAACACAATTATGGCACCAACATACTAATATAGTGATTAAAAAACTTATCACGTGCATAAATACAATAGTTAAGCAATAGAAAAGAAAGAATTTGATTAAAACATGACGTAAAAGCTCAATAGAACAAACAGAAGCTGTGTGTTCCTTTAACAAGATCAACATGAAACCAGGAATGAATGAACAGCCAAGCGGAAGAACATTTAGGGCTTAGGCAAAAGCATTGGAAAACGAAAATTACAACGCGATTTGCACACCACATTTAAAAGGTTTGCCTGTTGAAGAGAGGAAAATACAAATAGAATTCAAAGCAAAATCAAATCACCAAATCAAAACGGTGTATTTGGCTGATAATGAGTGTCAAAAATGCTCATGCAGCAGACACATGCTTTGAAACTAACTCCATTGTGTAGGTGTAACAAAGACTGGAAGGAAGAGCAGGGCAGGATATAAGCATGCAGATGTATGACATTTCCTGTACATTTCTAAAAAAAAATAAAAAAAATAAAAAAAACACCTGACAGTTAAAGGAAAAACAAGATAAGACTGGTATACCCAAGCCCCCATAAGACGACTGAATGAATGGATCAACCAACTTACATGAGACTGCGGTTAGGCAGATGGGGCACGCAGAGGAGACAAGGAGAGGAGTGAGGGAAACAGACACAGGGTTAATGTGAGTTAATGTGGGCATGTGAACTACAGAGATCTCACAGGCATTGCAAACTACAAACAAGGACATACTGGACCAGGGTCTACAAGAGAAGAACATCCCCCTCTGTAACAATCCAGGCTGTCATTATTTGCAGCGAATATCTCAAGGAGTCAACAAAAAACTCCACGGAATAAATATGCATGGAACTACAGAAATTACTAAGGTTAAATTAAAGGGATAAATTTGTATAGGACGACTGATCACTACATACAAGGATATGCTACCCCCATTTGAGTTGTCTAATCGATTAACAGCATGTTTTTAGTCAGCCAAGAATTTCTTTAGTAGACTACAACCCTAGACATTATATTTTGGTTTAGTATTTTAATGCTTACATTGTATGCATTAAAATTCTTTAGAAATGCAATTAATCAAGCACACTAGTTGATCTTTACAAACCCAATTCAAAGAGACATAAACACACAAAAGAGATGGGGGCCTATCAACAAAACATACTCGGTTAGATGTGTAACTGGCATAAAATGCAAAGTAAGCAAAGTTTAAGTTTATTCGGAACATGTTTTTTTCAAAAGAAAGCAAGTTGTTGGGTAATTCTGAACATGAACGACATGTCTTCTTCCACAGAGTCATGACTTGGGTTTGTAGAGTTAACAGAATGTCAGAGGCAGAACACTGTCAACAGTGCAGGACAAATGCAACATGCAGAGAGGAGATGAAGCCTCATCCTCAGATAGTGACTGTAGGCTGAATGCTGATTCAATGTTAGCACAAAGAGGACATGCATGAGCTGTACAAGAGCCAAATGCACCAGCTACACAAGTTCAGTTAACATCAAGGGAGACTCCTACACGACTGTGTATACAGCCATACAAGATGTGAGTAAAACCAACCAAATGCATTCAACAGGATTCTCTGTAGCACAATGAACATTTAGCCCTGATTTTCTAAAGAGCAATAATAACTTATTGATCACAACTAGTTGTACTTATGGCCACTGTTTACATCACATTTAAATATAGTGTTAGTAAAAGTAGTACAGTAGCAGGTACGGCAATATTCAGCAAATATTCATAGCTTAAAGCTTAAAGTACAAACATGCAGGTCTGTCACGATAGATTGAAGACTGAAGAGTGATATACTGCTGAAGTAACTTTAGACAATAAAACTACAACCAAATCATGAAATAGAAATATCTGCAAAAAAAACTATTTAAATATAGAATATTGATAAAAAAAATATATGATCTACAATAAATAACAGTATACAACACTTTATTAGTTTGTATGCATCTATAAAGAGATGTTCAGAAGTTCATAATTCAACCTTCTACAACTCAAATCTCATTGTAGTCCAGAAAAATAACCTACATTTTTCCACTAGTAATACAAAGAAAAAGTAGCCACGATATATAGCGACCCCAAAAAATGACTTATCTTATCTGTCATATATTGAATGAGAAGTTAATACAGTCTTAGTTTATCCTGATAGGCCTGCAGACAAGATTATGCAGTAACCAGTCTGCTACCATAGTAATTTATTATCAGTTACTACAATAGTATCAGCAGTTCTATAGACTGGAAGTCATGCTCATGCACTAATGGCAGCAGCAGATAAAGCACACAGACAGAAAGCTGAAGACTAGGCTTACAGTGCCCCCTGGTGCACGTGTGTTTGACCACTCACCTTTGTAAACATTGAGCGTGATGGTCCGGACTGCGATGCGCACCATGCTCTCAGGGTGGTTGAAAAACTTGATGGCCTCAGTGTACAGGGCAAAGTCATTAGTGTGCTGTGTGGAGGACACAAAAGACATCTAAATAAGAATACCAAACCAACCAAACAAAAAGAGTGACAGAAACAGGACATTCTACAGGGTTCTCCAGCCTAAAGAGTTATAGAGCTTTTTCCATCACATACAGGCTCAGAAGAATTACAGTTTTTGTCATTTCTGCGCAGCCTTACCTCATTGTAGAAGAAGTGCACTGTGTGGTTGTTTAGTTTAAGTGAAAGTGTCTTGAGAAAAGAAATATAATAGGCCATAATCTCCTCATCAGAGAAGTCAAACTTGTGGACGATGATGGAGTTCACGTGATTGTTTGACAAGAGATAATCTAAAACAAAAAAATGTATTGCTTTAATCGGATAATGCATTGGTAATATAAACCAAACATGGGCATGAATATTTTAGCTCTAGTCAATCAGAGTCTTTGTTGACACTCACATAAGGACGTCTCATGGCTGATATTCTCAAACAGAATATTGAGAGTCTGAAGGAGCTGCACACACACGTAACGGCCAGACTTTTGTCGAAGGATGTTGAGGAAGAAAGCAAACATGTTCTTCTCCAGGAAGAAACTGTGAACATAGAAGGTTGGTCAGATTAAACAATATCAGAGAAGCTTTTAATAAAAACTGTAGCAAAATGATTAAACAACTAAATATTGGGAACTAAGTTTTTGCTATATAATACCTTAATGTAGATAAAATTGGTATAGCATAAGCGTTTTTATATTATTACAATAATCTGATATTACTTGTAACTATAATTCATGCCAGCATTGCAGAAAAATGGACAATAACAATTAACCGCATTAGTCTCACTATGAATAAAAGTAGACTGGATGGTTTTGTTCTTCTATTTTATATCAACACATTTCAGAATTTCATGGGCAACATAGAATGGTGGCAGACACGGACTGGAACTACTTACTCAAACACAGAGCTGTCATTCTGGTCTCCCCAGATGAGATTTTCAGTGATGGAGCGGATTGTCTCCACCAGCAGGTTTCTGTTGTGGTCAGTCACTGTGGTGTTTTTGGTCAGGACATGGTACAAATACCTACAAGGAACAATTCACAAGAAAATAGATCATTATCACATGGACATGATAATAATTTTATAGTCTTGCCTTTCAGATTTTAAATAATTTGAGAATGTATCAAAATGGTTTTATTTATATATATTTTGCATTCTTGGAGTTGGTGGTTTTAACATTCTACAGAGAATAAAGTGATATTCTCAAAAGGCCAGAAATATCCAAAAGGAGAATCCACAAATGTTGAATCTGACCTCTTTAACTTGCTTGATACTTTGCAGCTGATCTCATCAGCATTCTGGGGGTGTGATACTAACTGCAGACACTACTTTGTCAGAAGCACTAATCAACTTTAATCTAATCTTTATTTTAACACAATCATGACCAGCAATGATTTGGTTAGAACTACAGTACAACAGGTGAGATGATTTGTTCTGTTAAACAAGTCTCTTACACATAACAATACACACAGGCTATTGAGCATTAGCCAATAGTTTTTTTTTTCAGTTAGTCACTCTCACCTTTTTTGCTGAAACTAAAACACTTAAAAAAAGACTATGAACACTCATATTGATCACAGACCTGAACTTTCCACCATACAGATACATGTAGAACACCCCCAGAATGATGTTACTGCAAAGTATCAATACATCACAGTTTTGTAATCCTATTAGGTGAAGCAGGGCCAAATACAAGCTGGCACGTTAAAGGTGCATTACAGTGCACTTTTCTTATAGGTTTATAGCTCAATAATACCTAGAAAGGCATTCTCACTGTGCTCGGGGTCGCCTCTCCGCAGACCTGACCTGAAATTTGGTTTGGTTTGATCTCCATGAAGATAGAAAGGTTTATTAACCATTGTATGAAACATTTCAGATAAAGTAATAACATTTCCACAGAGACAAGCAGTTGACGTACCCTCCAACAGAAAAATTACACAATGTACCTTAAGCAGTGATACAACAATACTGCTAATTCATTTGAGAGCTGTTAACTTTAATTGATTACATCAATTTAAATTTTTTATATATATATTTAAATATATAAATGGGAGAGTGTACATCTAACAGAAATAAGTTCAAAGTTAGCTTTATTTTCAATTTCTACACATGTACTAAACATGCAAAGGAATCGAAATTAGGTTTCTCTCCATCTCATGTGCACAGACACAACAAATAACATAATCTCTGACCACTACAGTAACCATATGTAAAGAAATTAAACTAAAAACTCTAGCAGCAGTAATAAAAACAGTAGATAAGGGATATAGGAAGGAGAATTGCAAATGAAAAAGGAAAAACAACAGCAACAAAACATAGAAAATATAATAGTCAAATAAATAATATATTAAAACACCAATGTATTCATATTTTTGCCTGTCTGATTTGTTTATTAATTGGACATAAAGAATTTGTAAGAACTCAAAACACTTGCGCTTTGAGCCTTTGGAGGTGGAGTGAGTCGGTGGGCTGGAAACATGGACATTTAACATTTAGCGCACGGGTAAAACATATCCCAGAACGATCACACAATAACAATAAGAGTATAATACAACTAGACAGCTGCTTGGACTTCAATCCTGCACAATTTTGCAAGATGTTAATGATAATCGGTTGTCTTAGATGCAATCGTTAGCTTCACCAGTAGCTACTCACTTCAGCTGATCCAAGGAGTGAACGTTCCTTGCCCTTCCCTGTCCAACCCAGCTCCGCGACCGACCGAACATGGTGGCCCTAAGGTAGGATCCACTGCACCAGGCGTGTTATTTTCCTAATAGAAATTTCGCTTTCAATCCATTCCGCACACTTTCCCTAGTCTACAGATAGCCACTTAGCAAACAGAAGGTGAGAGGCGGTGATAGCAGCGCTTGGGTCACTGCGAAACTGACCGTGTGATTGGGTTAATGGGGTTTGGAGTTTTTTTCCCCGTCAGAAGAGCTGTCTACGGCGCTCCAAAAAACTACAAAAAAGACTTCCTGTAAAGGTAGCGACGCAGATGACACGCGACGCCTGTGTGTTTTGATTGACGCGGGGCTGGAACCAATCAGTAAACGGAAAGCCAATGCAGACAGAGAAGTGTCCGATTTCGTTGTTTTTGTCAGCGTTGTTTTGACACGGACGGATCAAAATGATAAAGCCTGTTTAGTGGCACTGTATTTGATGGATAACCGTGCTTGTGGTGCGTTTTAATTGTGGGTAGGAAAGAGCATGCGAATCTGTAACTTTTAACTTGCTTGTGTTTGGACTCACACTACATGCTACTGTTTTTAGCATTTCAGCTAGCTGGCATGCCGTGAGTTTCTCTAGCCTGACAAAAATATGACCACTTGTCAAAGATGATCATTTGATACTGTGTGTTGAGTATTATTAGCTCTGCAGACGACCATCTGCACATTACTTGTGTAGTTTAATGCCAGAGATAATACTATATGCCTTATGCTGCTTTTGGCTGTTGCAGATCAACCCGAGCCGACATGGACTCCGTAGGGTCACATCAGGCTGGGCTCTAGCCTCCTCTTCGGTCCATGTAAACACTGGACCCAGACGTCTGGATTTCTATGACACAACCAATTTATGCACAGCTAGATTCTGTGGAATCGCACTTGGACGACCTCCCATATATGTTTTATCTAGGCCTGTTCTTTGTGAACGTGCTGATCCTGTACTATGCCTTTCTGATGGAGTACATAGTCCTGAATGTAGGGATTGTGTTTTTGCCCGAGGACATGGACCAGGCCCTAGTGGACCTTGGAGTTCTTTCTGACCCAGCCTCCATGCCCTATGACACGGACACTGAGCTGGATGTATTTGAAGGCTACCTCGAGTGACTAGGCCCCTTGGAACTGATGCTGATAAAACATGGGGCAGCAAAAGCACTGCTGGGCCAATGGGGACGGCCATGTATGCACCTCAGCAAATTTGAAAGGGTAAATGCTAACTTTATTCAGGTGTAAAATTATTGGTGCCCTCAATAATCTATTTTCATTTATTATAGGTTGTTCCTGCTCATAAAAAGGTAACCAGAGTGGAAGTGCTGCCAGCCACTTGTAGTGGCCGTCCATCAGGAAGATTATGCAAAAATGAATAAGCAAGTACCTGCTTATTTGTCGTTTCTTCTGCAAAGAAAGGATTAGACAATTCTCAGGCCTGGTGTAACTCCTCACTGCAAAGACCAATTGAAAATAATCTTAAGTTGGTTCTGTGAAATAAACTGAGCAATGGAGACATATAAAGGATGTCTAAATAATTGCTGCCAATTATTTAGACACCACTGTTGAGAAAAGTAACAGTGAGTGCTTTAGTTTAGGAAGAAAGTATTTTTATTTATATCTTAAATGCAAATTGCAACAGCCTTGCTGCTTACATGGAATATTTGAGATGCTTTCTCACAAAACTATTATAAACACTGAACATGACACATCCAGCTGTCATGAGCGTCTCCAGAGCCCTTTGGTCATCGGCTTACACAAGTAGACTTACACTCTGTTGTGCCAATTTGTTTGATTCACATTTGTTCTCAGCATGACTGTATGACTTTGTAAAATATTTTAAAATGGATGTTGCTTTCGACTGTTCATTGTCTTATTTTATAGCTGTCTGTTCTTTAGGGTTTCCTTTTAAAGATATTTTAATGTAGTTCTCAGTTATCATCATAAATAAGCACTTACATGAACAGAGGAACGCCCTGAAACCAATGGAAGCAGCTGTCCAGCAGATGTGTGTGAATTCCCTGCATGTTTCTCTGGTCATGCGTTATTTCAGAGAGTTGGTAAAGGCTGGTTTGTACTCAGGACTCAAATCAACACAGATGCTTCGTGACACACTTGACTGTCAATCAGAAAGCCTGCAGTAGTTGCTGTGCACCGCATCCAAAAAGTTACTTTGTCTCAAAGCATTGCGATTGGTTGATCCACAATGACTCAAAAATCTACAGAGATAAAAGACTTGGAAATGTTTGGGTTTGATTCAAATGACCCCTGCACAAGCCTGTTGTACTACTTTGTCTAACTGAATGCATAGATCAAAATGAAACATCCCCGTGACGCAACAGGACCCTGATGTGAGGCAGAAGCTCAAATGGTTCAGGTCTGTACCAGGATGCCAGTTTCAGATGAGCACTTCTCAACTCTGAAGTATAAACCAGCCTTTACAGTTTGAGAACTGTGACAAGCTCCTCTTGAGCTGAACTCACATCAGCTCTGTGCCACTGCTCATTGTGCAGTGAGTTTGAGGAGGAAAGCCATAATTTTCACAGGTATCATGTATTATAAAATGTAGACAGCATTCATATTTGGCATTCAAATAAATTGATCTTATTTATTTTACATTTTAGGTTTTTTTTTTTGTTTGAATGTCATAAAAACTGGCTTATGATTAGGTATAAATGTATAATGTCAACTTCACTACACTCACTAGAACAGAGCTGGCTCACATATGGGTATGACTCACTCATACTAGAACAGACTCCACTCATCCTTCATCTGCTTTTGGTCCCATATGCTGCTATTGTTGCGTTTTGGATTATGTTCTCAAAATGTATTTAATAAACTAAGGCAGTTCTATTGCTAACATGATATGACTATTTTTGTGAGTCACACTACAACTTTTGTTTCAATCTAAATGAAAAACTGCAAGAAGCTGTATTTTGTTTTGTTTTTTTTACATTAAGTAGTGTTATGTCACATAATGTCCACAAGAGGGCATTCATACATTTCAGACAGAAACAAAATGGACAATGAGTAATACCAGCCACAGCATAAGAAGAGTTTAACCTAACTTGTCTTTTGTTAGATTATCTATCATTAATGACAAGAGTATCATTAATATCTTTTAGTCCAAATTAATCTTCAACAACTTACTTAATGCATGCCAGAGTTGGATCAAAACCGAAAGCCAAATGTAAATAGATGAAGTTTAGCAAAAAAGTGAAGAGAAACAGTTTGAAAGGAAGTTGCTTTTAATACAAACTTGTTGATAAAAGATGTAAAAAGAAAAAAAAAAGAAAAAAAAAGGAGTATATACTTCACTGAGAATTGGTAAAAAATACAGCAAAAAGTCTTAATATAGTGTAACCCAGACAAAAAATAAATACATTTTAAAGTGCAAATGTGCATCAGTTTCTCCACACTAGAAGGTATCCATAATGCGGTGGTCCTGCTGCAGGAGTCTCTCAAACACCCCGTAAGGAATGCAGTGGCTCCACATCCTACAGTGATACAAAGCACAACACGAGTAAATCATTATAATACGTAACCGTGGCAACAACATGACATGCCAAACTCTCTCTTCACCTCAGAGATTTTATATGTTGACAGTTCTTCAGACTGCTCCCCAAACTTTGTGCTCCAATGTCTGTTAGCTTGTTGTACCTTATGCTGTTCAAACATAAAGTTGTTGTTATATATATATAGCACTTTAATGGTGCTGCTTGTCTCCATGGAGATTTCACTGCTTGCCTCGAGTGTTCCACAGTATGGCATTAAACTTATCAGATCCAGTTTGCATTTATTCAGATATTTTTACAGTTAAAAATATCTTGAAAACATGCATTCTTACTATGAGTCTGCCTGTAACGCACCACTGAACATTCTAGGCAAAGCAGTTCCGTGGAAACAAAAAGCCAGTCAGAGGTAAAGTATATGCAAAAAAAATTATTCTTACTCTAATTCGGTGAGAGCAGACATTTGAGGAAGTTCTTCAGCTAAACACTTCGCACCTTGATCACAAATGACATTGCTGTGTAGGCTGAAATAAACAAGGGTGGTTAATAATAGTACAGGCACATCTCAAAAACAGAAAATCTTGAAAAAGTTTAATAGTTATTGTTACTCATGTCATAAAGTCAAACACAGATTATATAGAGTCATGCTTTCAGGCTCTTATTTCTTGAAATTTTGATGATTATGCCTTACAGATAATGAAAAGTTACCAAAATTCAGTGTCTCGGGAAATTAGAATATTACATAAGATCAATAAAAAAGGATATTTTAACCAGAAATACCAGGCTTCTGAAAAGTATGTTCATTTCTATGCCCTCAATACGTGACTGGGCCTGCATTAGTGCGCAGTGGCTTGGAGGTGATCACCCTGTGGCACTGCTCAGGTGTAATGGAAGCCCAGGTTGCTTTGATCATGACCTTCAGATCATCTGCATTATTAGGTCTGGTGTCTCTTCCTCTTGATAATATCCCAGAGCTTCTCTATGGGGTTCAGGCCAGGCGAGTTTGCATTGAGACATCTTTACCTGTTACCTTTGGCTATGTGGGCAGGTGCTAAGTCCTGCTGGAAAATGAAATCAGCATCTCCATAAAGCTTGTCAGCAGACGGAAGCATGAAGCGCTCTAAAATGTCCTGGTAGATGGCTGTGTTAACTGTGAACTTCAGAAAAACACGGTGGGCCAACACCAGCAGATGACATGGCAGCCCAAATCATCACCGATTATGGAAACTTCACTCTGGACTTCGAGCAAAGTGCCCCTCCTTTTCTTCCTCCAGACTCTGGCACCTTGATTTCCAGAAAATATGCAAAATATGCTTTGGACCACTGAGCAACAGTCCAATTCTTTTTCTCCACAGTCCTGGTAAAATGCTTCTGTCATCCTCTCATTTCCCGTAAAGGCTGTGTCTGTGCGGAGTGGCTCTTGATGCACTGACTCCAGCCTCAGTCCACTTCTTAAGAAATTGGCCCAAATTCATGAATGAACTTTCCTTGGAAATCCTCTCAAGGTTGCAGCCAGCCCTTTTGCTGATGCACCATTTCCTCACACATTTTTTTCTCCCTCGTAAGTTTCTCTGAATATGCTTGAATACAGCACTCTGTGAACAACCAGCTTCTTTAGAAATTGAATAAATTTAGCTTTTGTGGCCGAATTTTTGGTTTTCATTATCTGTAAGCCATAATCATCAAAATGTCAAGTAATAAAGGCTTGAAAGCTTCACTCTATGTGTATTATAAACGGACCTGATTTACATAGTGCTTTTAAACATAACCAGTGCATTTTACATCATAGTACTTCCTTTAATTTTACCATGTACTTTTATATCTAAGTAATTTCTCAGTGGTCCAGGTAGGATCTATAGTGGTCCATGGGCTTATACTAGTCTATGTGCTCTTATACTTGTTCTGATACAGCTCAAGATTATTCTAAAGCTACTCAGGAAAGGTTCATTTCTGTCCTGTGAAGGTGACTTTTTAAGCATTGATACTTGTTCGAATGAGTATCTAATTCGATACTAGCTTTAATATCAATTTATATTTGATTTTTGACACTTTTGACAACCCTAATGCTTACACAATCACACAGGCAAGGTAGGTGAAGTGTCTTGCCCAAGAACACTATGTCAGAAAGAACTGATTATAAGAATTGGCCCATCTGAGCCTGTTTTGCCTGTTTTGTCATACATATATACGATGACGATAAACCACAAATGCTATATAATATGATTTTTAGATGTTTGTACCTTAGCCTGTCAAGTTTGGGGAGATTCCTCAAAGTGGCTGAGAGGGATTTTGCTCCAGTATCTCCAATAGTGTTCTGTGACAGACTGAACAAAATAAAACAGTACATTTTTATGTTAAACCTGTAATAAAGATATAATATGCAACAAAAGTGTCATATAAGACTCACTTTAGAGTTTCTAAGGAAGACAATGAAACCAAAGCCTTTGCCAAATGCTGAGCTCCGTCATCACCGATTTTGTTGTTCTCCAAACTAAAAGGGGAAGAGGAAGTGAGAAAATATGGCAATGCTATATTTGTAGACATTTAATCGGAGGGATATTTACTCTAAATGCTGCAAGTTATGTAGACCTGGCAACATCCTCCACAGCATTGGAAGAGCAAGTGGACCCTTCTCTGGACCAAGCCTAAGAAAGAAGGGAGTTAGTAAGACTGAACATTTGAAAAAAACATCTGCTATTTCTGTATTGCAGCTGCATTATTTTTTCACACTACTTTTGTAACGCTTTAACTTTGCTCTACTTGAGTTGTGATAGATTTTGTACGGGGGTGTATTGCTCTCACTCCCCCAAAAATATTTTGGCTCAGTATCACGTAATTATGTGATACTGAGCCAAAATATTTTTGGGGGAGTGAGAGCAATACACCCCCATAATTTTGAGTCTATTTTTAAGTCTTTTAATTGTCTCGTCATCATTGCCCTGGTAAAGAGCCTAAGTAGAAAATGTTTTAAAACTCTTTGGCTACAGGAAGGCTCATCCTGGGACTTCTGGTGTAACTTTGGTTTAGATTTTTCTTAAAAGTTTCTACAAGAACAGAACAATTGACAATCTTTCAGCAAAGAAAGAAGCTTGTGACTAAAGTAAATTCATATTAATTAGCCATCATGACCACAATAAAAATATACAATTCTGTTTGATGAAATAATCTCAGCTAATGACTTCCTCTACAGAAAGAAGAGGAACAGTGTAAGTGTTCATGCTGTGATGATTGTTCATAATATTTGCAGAATTATTTGTAAATGTCACTGGGTTCATAATGCCTATGTGAGAGTTCATAAGAGTTCATAATGCCATGAAACTAAGCTTGCATTTGAAGGATTTATGTCTGAGCAGCAGCAGCGAGTTGTACTTCCTGATAGAAAGCTTGGCAACGGTGGACTGATTTCACCTAGCACTTATCTTACCAGGAAAGTAAAATTTGCTGAGAAAATAGTCCCTCAACAAGTGACGATTCATGCCATGCAAGGTTAATCTTATTATTCTATCAACCCAGACATTCAAATCGACAGTCTGGTGTAATAATAGATTTGCTTAAGGTGTTTTGTGGAGCGGGTAAGACTGTTTTTAGTGGCAGGATAACTATGGAGACTGACATGCACTAGCCTAGCACCAGCGACCTCTGCAAATACAAAGACTGGATGGAATATTTAAAGTGTCTCCACATGTCTCCAACACTCTTGCTAACTAGGAAATGAGGTGCTATGTCCAAAATTCTGGATTATCCCTTTAATCTGTGACCTGTCTTGTTGTTTAGACCTCATGGATGTTAGGATGGAAACTCCTCTGTAAAGGGCTTCAAACCCCTGGACCACACTCACACCACACATCTCCGCTCTGCCCGGTCACACGCACACACATCACAGATTCATCAATTTAGACTCAACACATAACCCTAGATAACTCTTTAGCAGTTTATCTAATATTTAATCTCGAAACCCTTGACTAGAGAATACCACACTTGTTTCATATTCAAATGTTTTAACTTGGTCAATAAATATTCATAAACCACTATTTGCATTGGTGAATATTTCCAGATATGGTCACTGATATGGTACAAGAATTTACAAACCTTCAGCATTGTTAATAAGTTCATTTGGATAATTTGTCATACTGGATGGGTAACTTTTGTTGAGTGGTGCTTCAAAACTCTTCTAGTCAAAGCAACAACAACACTTTTTGGACCCTCTACATAAAAAAACGTACATAGGTCCGTAATATGAACATTAAAGTGCCTCTTTCATAGTTGTTCCCTCTTCACAACATTCATTTAAATATAATGCAGACTTAACCAGAAAACCAAAATGTAAAATTGAAATTAGTTTTACTGCCTTAAAAATAAAAAATCCTTGTTGATCGACAGGTAGGTGTTTTGAAAAGGCCAATAAGATTTAAGCATTTTATCTTAATTTAAAAGTTAGCGATTTTTACTCACTCCAGTTCCAAGCTTGTGTAGATCTTGGACTGCTGGTACTCCTTCAGCAAAGATGGAATTCATTTGGCTAGAGGAGAAACACCGCATTGTGAATTTAATTTTTATCATGTTTTCTCAAGTAGTTACGTGTGTCTGTGCTACTTTACCATTCAGAAAGCCTCTTGTTTGTATGGATGTCCACCAGCTTGGACAGATATTCAATATGACTGACTTGTGTTGCTTTAAACGGGTCAATGTTGAATTTGGACACCGCATCACGTAGGAGATCATCTTCATTTTGTTTTTCAAGATCCTCCCACAAGAAAATGACATCCGCAATGCAGGCCCTGGAAAACACTTTGGTCAGCGTTGTACAGCTAAACATTTCAGAATGGATTTCAGAGTTTCATAAGCCAGTACCTGTACGTTCCTATGGAGTCTAGTCCCACTAAAGATCTCAGCCCGGCGACTTGTATCCCACAGTCTTGCAGGTCTAAAGAAAATCTCCGTTCTTTGCTGTTTCCATGTTCCAGAATATTTTTGATGGCGTAACCATCAGCTGGACAGAGAGGTACTCCGTTGAATATAAGTTTTTCCGGAAGGTTCTTCAAAATATATCCAGCCAACTTAGAAGATCCACAACGTGTGAAAGATCCCTCGTACACAAAGTGACATAAGTCCAGGATTTGGGAAGGTCTAAGGTGACCAAACTGGAGGTATCTGAGATGGTTGATGAGTGTGTTCTGTTTCGTAACCACTGTTTTGTCTAAGTTTTTGGCGGGTTGGAGCCAGAGAAGTTCGTCTTGTTTCTGGAAAAGTAGTCCCACGGCAAAGCGTTGGGTTAGTTCGAATTCTTCTCTCTGCTGTCTCCTTCGTCCTTTAGAGCCAGTTTGGAAAGAGAGGATTTTTACAAACGCAGAGCTGTAGAAATAGAAAGGGATATTGTCATTTCTCTATGCAGCTCTCTCAATCACAGCGTACACTTATATAATAAGATTTATGCACTGCTTTTCCAAACCCTGACAATCTGCGCCATGTGCCCACATTCATACTAGACAGGGTGGGAGTGTCTTTCTTAAGAAAACAGTAACAGTTTGCACTAGAGCCACTATTGCGTCACTGTGGTCCCTGGTATTTCCAGCGGTCTCCTATCCAAGTACTAACCAGGCCCAAACCTGCTTAGGTTCTAGATCAGATGAGATCAGGCATTGACAATCAGGTATGATGGTGAAAAAACATATAATGTGCATACTTGTGAACTTTATTTTTGGAGAAATGGATGTCAAAATTATATAAACATAATTTGTCAGGTGAAAATATTCATCTGAGCAAAAAATTTATCGTAAATGTGGTGAGCCGAAATGCACATTGTTTGTATCATAACAACTTTAATTTATCAATAAGAAGAACAGATTTTTTAAAAAGCTGGACACTGAAGAAGTAAAGTTTAGTTATAGTGTCAATAATTGTGAAAAATTTCAGTAATCACTAATCAGTAACACAAACATTTTATATTGTAGCATTCCTATTTGAAGAATTCTTATTGTTATTCAGCTGTAATTTCTGTACAAAATCCCACTGTTTCTCCCACAAGGCACAATTTTGTCACTGAATGATGAGGGGTGAAGCAGTTAAAACAGAGACTCACCGATACCAGTACTTGTATCAAATATTGGCTCTGATATCGAAAAATGTCCTGGGTCAGGTATTGGTTTCATAATATCGATTCAGCCAATACCCTGGTTGGGCCTTTTATTGGATCTAATAACACTATTTACATGCAGATTTTGGCCTAGAACGGCATTTTCCATCCCCTACAAGGGTACAGTTTAATTTAGGGTATTTGCAGATATTTAAAGTCAAAGTACTGTTATCGGTATCTGAACTGAAAAAGTTGGATCAGTGTATTCTTAATTAAAATGACGCTAATAACAATATCTGCGAGCTGTGATGTTGATTACTGAGAGAAATTCAAAGGACAACATCAAACAACAACATTCAACTGAACTTCAGGTATGCCTTTGTTAACACAACACTAAAATTAACATTCATTACTTTTCACACGATACTTAGATTGCATAGAAAACATGAGGAAGTCTAATGTCATAACAGGTTTTAATTACATAAGATGACCTGTTTATTCTTACCTTGACAATGACAAATTAATCGCCGCCAGGTAGCTCTGCAAAAAAGGATTGGCCCAAGACAAAATTTCATGGCCCAAATTTTCCACACCCTCTATCTCTCTGGTTTTATCATCATCTGTTTTGCACTCTTCTTTTTCAGTATTCGATCTCCTCCCGGCGTGAGTAACGTTTAGTAGCCCAGTCTTGAGTCCTGCCTCCCTAGTTCTGCACGATATGGAAAATTCACCTGTGATTATTGAAGTGTTATTTTTGACAGTTTCCCAGGCCAGGTGACTTAGCTCCGATATCAGTCCATTCTCCTTTTGCGATCTCTTCTTCCTGTCTGTTCTTCTTTGCCTTTTTTGCGATTTGCCCCTTGTTCGAATTGCATTGCTTACATTAACTTCCTCTACGGATTCCTTGGCTGATAGTGTTTCATCATCATTCAAACTGTTCATTTTCAGACGTAGCACCTGATAGCAAATCTCGGTCAAAGTTCTCGGTAGATCTTCCAAATCCGGTTGGTGTTCCAATAGCATGCACGCTTGTCGGCATATACCAGGATTCCAGCATAGAAGATTGAGATAGTCACAGTTTTGCAAGCTCTTCATGGTGGACTTTTGGACTTCCGGATCGGGAAAGTATTTCATGATATAGGTCTCTACATCTGAGGGTGAAAATCCCGAAATTTCCAAAAGGTCGTCCACTTTTCGTAGCAGCTGGCTCGCGCTGCCCCTTGGTCTAGATGAAAGGAGAAGGGAGCAACCTGGAAGTACCAATCTTTGCAGAATAGCAGAGTATAGCTGTCTGATTGTAAAAGAGTTAGAGTTTCTGTCTTTTTGTAAACAACTGGCAACATCTTTTTCTAAAGGTTGAACAAGTAGCTCGAATTCTCGCAGATCTTCAAAACCGTCAAACATGATAAGGACGCGTTTTGGGGAGGCAAGGATTTGAGCGAAAACAGCATCGGAGTTTGAGCATGAAGGGGTGAAAGAGGAAAGATGGAGGAGGAGTGTTTCGAGGCTGTATTTCGGTTCGGTTACGGTGAGGAATCTGCCGTCCAAGAGGAACACAAAGTCAAACTGGGGGAGGCAGTCCTTGGACCAGTCACGGCAAAGTTTCTTGATGCATATAGTTTTTCCAATCCCGGCTTTCCCCACGAGCAGGTGGAAGGTTTTAGAACGGCTTCCATGGGTTTGCTCAAAAATCTGAAAGAGAAGATAAACAGCATGTGTTGAAAGCAAAATGTCAGTACTAAGCACACATTGTAAAAGAACTAAATGGAGAAAACATCCTCATAAATGCACATTTTGTTGTTTTGTTTAGCTCAGATCTTCTAAAAGTTAAAGGAAACATATGGTATACGTTAAAGCGGTGTAGCTTGCTCAAAGTTGTATTTCAGTTCAATCATATCATGCATATTTGAGTAATCCTGTATTTGAGTGCTCAGAAAATGTCTATTTGTACCTACCCCCTATCTCTGCCCTCTACACTGTTGTGCAAATTCTCCTATTACTATGCAAATGGTAAGAATTAAAGAAACACTGCAACATCAGACAGTTTCTTCTTCTGCTTCCAGTGGCACAGGTCATACAGAGTACAGGAGCAGTCTGCACATTTTTCATTCATTCATTCATTCGTTCATCTGGGGTCAGCGTGGGACACAGATACGTGCATATTTGCAACTAGGCAAAGGTTAAAATAGAACGAAACAAATGTCCCAACTTTCACTTCTTCAGTGAAGTGATCAGTTTCTTCATAACAACATAAAAACAAGTAAAGAACCATGTCTTGCAAAATCGGTGCTGCAACATAAAATGTAACTTTCCATTATAGCATTTACCTGCGAATATTCATAAAAGTGAGACTCCAGGTCATATATGTGGGGTTTTAAAAAGTGTTTTTGTTTTTTTGGTGAAACGTCATTATTCAGAGCCCAATGGACCTACTTCTGTTTTTAAGCTAAGGCAATACTGTTGTTTACAATGAAGTGTGAAAGTGAAAAATGTGATCTACATACACTACCGGAGAAAAGTTTGGACACAGTTTTTCATTTATTTCTCTTGCAAAGGGTGACTACTTTAAGCATTTGAATATAAAACTTAACTTTTTTTTCTTTGCTACATAAATTCATATATCTTATTTCATATTTTTGATGTCTTCTGTGCATATAAGAATAAAATACTGAATGAGAAGGTGTGTCCAAACTTTTGACTAGTAACATATGTTATAGTTGAATAATACCCGAAAAAAAAGTGCACTATGTAACTTTTCTGAGTGCGGTTAATCACCTATTGCCTTCATGGACACATTTATCTGTAATGTTCCACAGAATGACATTTAACACGCTGATCTGGCATTTATTCAAATCCAAGTGTTTTTATTACCAAGAAAATACCACTGTGAAAAACAGGTTTAGTGTCATACCATCACACCAGGAAAAAACACACACAAAAAAAACAATAATAATTTAACCTGGTCATTTA